TGTGGTACAAACTTTTTGACATGTAAAATGGTTACGTAGACCTCGAAAGAGGAATCCATCCTGTGATTAATTGCTATTAGCATGTACTATCACTTTTGCATTATGCTAACCCCTGACTTTACTCCGAGAAGTTAAATTTGTATAGTAACATGGACTGAACTAAAAATGGTGAAGTTCTTGCAGGAATCGGGTCTTTCAACAATTCTTTCACGTTCATCCTCAAGCGTATCGCTTTCTCCATGTTCCGATCGTCCACGCAAACACTGCAGTAGAAGTAAATTTCGCGTGGAGACGTGTACTCGTATACAAAAGCGTTTGAAACTCTTCACAGCAATGCCACCATCACTTCAGCGTCTTCAGAGTAGCGCCATACATTGGTCTCCATGTTTCAGTAAGTGTTGCAGCTAAACTTCTCCAGAAAATCACCGCACCCATTTTTCATATTTTAAGGCTCTTATCGACTTAGGCTTTATTTACGGATCGGTTTTCCGTGTCATACATATGAACCAGCTTCCCTTCCACCACACATATTCGGCCTTTCACTGGCAGTTAACTATTTATTCCTATTTTTTTTTAAATGCACCCGTTTTTTTTTTTTGAAAATGTATGCTGTTATATTAGGAGTGGAGAGGGGTCTGCATGTTGTTTGCGGGCAAAATTTGGAGACAGGGTAGAGAAGGGAACGAGGATACAACTCAGAAGTTCGAGGTAAGAACTGGAGGCAGCAGTAAAGAGGAAAATTCCATTTACTGTTTTAGTTTTAAGCTTGGGTGGGAAATTGTGTTGGCTGTTTGTGAAAAAAGCTATTTTCATAATGTGAGGTTGGTATTTAAAAAGCGTTGTGCAAAAATTATTGAAAATACCATGAATACCAAGACTGCTCGGGCTCCCAGTATGATTGTTGATGATGTTACTAGGATGTTCTCACATGTCAAGCGCAGCTATGCCAGGCATTTCGATCCTGGCCTGCATATTTCCAGTTAGTACCCACCCCATGTCCGACGTATTGTGCGCTCTCTCTTCGGGGATCACTCAAGTGGTCGTTTG